TTATTCAAGTAGGACATTTTGGTAACATGGCCAGTTACTGTGTGACATACGAGGTTCTGGTGCCAAGTTGTTCTTTGGAAGCAGAGCTAAACTGAAAGTTGATCTAGTACTCAGACACAAACCTTTAATTTGACCCTATATAAATCTGGAATGGCCAGGAAATGCCATATATTCACAATGAATTAAGTAGCTTCATCTTCATTTTATTCTGAATCACACCCACCTTGCTGTGTAACACATTCAATTGGGAAAAATCAAAATGTTTGTCTAAAACCAACTCCAAAGAAAGTTGCCAAATTATTGCTCAATTCTGTGGGTGATGAGCATAAATTTACAGATGCAGAGTAGATATATAATTCATACATGGGGTTGGGAAGGATAGGAAGGAATAAGAAGGAGGTAGGTCTACGTATCCATCGACATGAAACCAAGAGCTGAATTGACAAAATGTCTTCACTGTATTGTAAAAACGGACATAAAAGAATTTTTTACATGATATGCAGTAGTAAATTGAAAGAATCAAGGACTTTCAAGATTCAAATAAAAAATAATGTTAGCTAAACACTTTTAAAAAGGGATGAAATCTCAAGAGTAGTGTATGTGTGTGTTGGAAAACTTTCTGGAACTTTATGCTTTAAATGTATGCAAATGATTGGGCAAACCTAGAGGAAACTATATTTAAAATAATTTACCCCTTTTTTTCCCTTCTTTTTTTTAATCCTTCAATGACTTTAAGTCATTATTACATGAGAGCAGTGCTGTGGTGTATTGACTTCTAGATAGGCTTGAAACACTGCCTTGCTTCTCTTACCTTCCTTTGAAAATGCCAGACTGCAGAGCACCTCATGGAGAAGTAGAAGCTGGACTGGGCATTTAAATTCCCATAGCCCCATCTATCCATGAAGAAAGTGCTGTATTTTTTGTTAAATTTTCAGTGATTGGATCAGACTACCTGAATTTGTGGATGTGTAAGTGATGACCTGAGGGACGGTTTTTGTTGGCTCATTTCTCACTGTGTGAACACTGCATATAACTTTGTCTTTGGAAAAGGGACAAAGCTTCATGTGAAATCAAGTAAGAAACATTTATATGTATTTGCCTCCTTTATTATGGATATAGATTTGAACAGCAAAGGGGCTTTTATCACCATGGCTTGGTAATAGAAGGAATTCGCTAGCTGACATACATAGTACTGATTTAAATTATTGTAATAGTTCTTGTATTGTCTGCCTATCTGGTGTATCTTGGAAACTGGGAAAAAAACCACCTGTAGATGGAAATGTGGACTAACTGGAAGCAGGACTTCATCAGTTACTCCGACCCTACACCATATACGACGTTGTTGTTCCCCTCCCTTTTTATCATTCCAACACAAGGCCTTGGGGCAGGAACTGTTGTGCCAGGTCTAAATGTAAAGTTAATAGACTAATTTTTTTCTAATGAGGATCTTAAACAGGTTTAACACTAAGGGTCCGTTTGCATAGTTTCATTTAATGCAGACAGTGTAAGACATCGGAGGAGTCTCTGAGATGCTGAACTTGCATGAAATCCCCACACAATTGAACGATCACTGCTGAAACATGATGTCGTGCTTAGAAAAGTTTCTAGCTGGAGGACATCTGCTATTTAGTGAATATGGTGCACCAGGATGCTGATAATCCATCAGTAAGCAGCAATAGAAGCTTGCGTGGTAGAGTTGTGTGTGGTTTGTGTAAGTGGTTGTGTCACTGTGTGACTTCAGCATCCAACCAGAGAGTTGTCTTTGGAAGCGGGACACAACTGATGGTCCATCCTGGTAGGTATAAAGCCAGCCTGAAGGAGTAAGGATAGGAAAGCCACATCCCCTACTCTGCTAAATCCTGCTGGGCTGTGTTGGAAACTGGTTTGCACAGGGATGGATTGTGTGTGTGGTGTAAGGGGGACATACAGCAGAGAGATCTGAGAAAGACATGACTGTACGCTTTTATGGCTGATGTATGGCTGAAAGGAGAGCTGTCATCACAAATATATGGTCACTAACTAGTGTAACTAAAGTGGAAGGAAACTGATTCAATCTGTGGGGCTTTTTGCTCTGCTTTCTCTAGCAGGAGTAGAAACCTGGATTCAACAAGGTCATGTATTTACTCCATCTGTTACTCCTGACAGCTGCTGCTCTCTGCCTTTCACACAAGCAGACTGGGGTCCTGAACACAGCTGATCAGTGACTGACATTTCGTACCATGGCCATCCATACCTTTGATAGTTGGGATGGGTTGCTAATGGCTCTGTCTAGCACAGCCCTGGGTTATCGTCCTTAGCTCTGCTGAAGAATGGCTGAATTAATAATGCTTCTCTTTCCACCACAATTCCAATTGTCATCCCTCCTGTACATGAGATTCTGAAGATATCTCTTATCAAGTCTACGGTTACTCCTGGTTTCAAATGTCTGGTCTTGATGGGAACGAGCTCCTTATCTGCAGAGTAACTGGCATGAGAGCTGATGTCTTTT